GTCCAAGGGATTGACTAGCAACTGAGGTAGCATGAGCACCAGGGCTTGCCTGAGCAGGGCCTCTGTGCCATGCTGAGGTCCGTCTTCCTCCTCCTCCTCTTCCAGGTGGACCAACAAGCAGGTACACCACGAGAGACATGAGTATGACAATGCTTTCCCGCATCCTAGGTTCTATGGTTGCAGTGTTCTGGTATCTACGCAAGCAACCAGAGCACAAAAGGATGTGATCACACTGCCTCCCCTTTATATCACCCAAGGGGACAGGGACTAGAGGAGTGCCTTATGGGGTGCAGCCAACATGAGCCCCTCTAACCATCCACTGCCAAATTCTGGACCCAATAGACCAGGCCAGACTTCCCAGCTACCTCCCTGGCAGACTCTATAATGTGGATACTCAGCTTTGGAGAACATTTGATTTTTGTCCATCCTGAGGACATGGACTTTCATCTTCTCAACATTGTGTGCCCAGAAATTGACCATAGTATATTTGACCTTTTCTCGTAGGCTGTGTCTACACTGGCATCCCTTCCGGAAAAGGGATGCTAATGTAGCACATCGCAATTGCAAATTCCGCGGGGGATTTAAATATCCCCTGCGGGATTTGTATTTACATGGCTGCCGCTTTTTTCCGGCTTGGGGAAAAGCCGGAGAAAAGTGCCAGTCTAGACGCGATTCTCTGGAAAATAAAGCCTTTTCCGGAGGATTTCTTATTCCTACTTTCAAGTAGGAATAAGAAATCCTCCGGAAAAGGCTTTATTTTCTGGAGAATCACGTCTAGACTGGCACTTTTCTCCGGCTTTTCCCCAAGCCGGAAAAAAGCGGCAGCCATGTTAATGCAAATGCTGCGGGGGATATTTAAATCTCCCGTGGATTTGCCTATTCCAAAGTGTTTAATCTGCATCCCTTTTCCGGAAAAGGGATGCAGTGTAGACACAGCCGTAGTGTAGACATGCTCTAGATGTTTTGCTTATTTTAGGCCCATTGAATGTGACTAGTTTCTACTAAAAATAATGAATTTAAAATGAAGGAATTTGAAAGTCTATTTTCATATTAAAAGTCATCCAAAATATTTAGTTCACTGCCAAAACAGTGTTTCAAACTAATATTATTCCTGTTGGGATATATAAAAATTAATAGGTCTGAAATGGCTTTACATTAGTCGTTCAGGGATCAGTCATAGCATTAACCTTAAACATGCTTTTTCCTTTTGTTTTTGTAGTTTGGGAAGATAGATTAATAGTTTGGTCAAAACCGGTATTATTCTTTCTGCTGTACAAACATGTTCTCGCTCTCTGTTCTTGTAGCCTAGGAGACAAGATGGCTACATCTAGATTGCATCCCTTTTTCGTAAAAGGGATGCAAATTAGACGTATCGCCTTTGCCGGAAAAAAGCGCCAGTCTAGACGTGGATCTTTCGGAAAATAAAGCCTTTTCCGAAAGATCCCTTATCCGCGTCTAGCTGGCGCTTTTTTCCAGCAAAGCTCTGTGCCAAAAAAAAGCGGCAGCCATTTTTATGCTAATGAAGCAGGGGAGATTTAAATCCCCGCTTCATTAGCAATTGCGATACGTCTAATTTGCATCCCTTTTACGAAAAAGGGATGCAATCTAGACGTAGCCGAGAAGTATGCAACTGCTCTACTTTGTTGTGTCCTCATTGGCGCTGTATAAAATATCTTCAGGGTTAAGTTCCTTGTAATGTCTGTAACCTGTTAGTTTGTAGCATAGGAATGTGTTGATTTAATTAGAAATTCTGTAAATAGTAATTAGGGCAGGTATGACTGTATTCATTATTTGCTTATTAACATTCATTTTATGGGAGTTAACCATAAATAAGGCTAAATAAGGCTTTAGGAAAAGGAGTGATAGAAGTGTGAATTAATATACTAAAATAGAAAAAGGGTGTAACCGTCACAAGGTTGTTGCCATTCAGACATTGTGTTCAATGTCTGAGGTAACCATGCGTAGGCAATAATGCAGTTCCTCTTACCCCATCTGCTCCTGGGTCGCCTGTTTTTTCTCTAACCTCTCCCTCTTTGTTTTAAATGTCAATGCGTTCATTGAAACAATTTATTTTTTTAAGATTCACCTTGCATTTATTTTAATACCAAATTACTAAAAAAATTTGCACCTGGAAAGATCCTAAAACTAAAAGTTGCTCCTAGAAACTAAAAGATTCTACAACAGCATTTTTTAGTTGTTGAAAGAGTCTAAGGGTATGTCTACACTACAATGTTAGTTCAAACTAACGGACGTTAGTTCGAACTAACATTCATAGGTGCTACACTAGTGCTCCGCTAGTTCGAATTTAAATCGAACTAGCAGAGCGCTTAGTTCGAACTAGGAAAACCTCATTTTACGAGGATTAAGCCTAGTTCGAACTAGTGGGAGGCTAGCCCTCCCCAGGTTTCCCTGGTGGCCACTCTGGCCAACACCAGGGAAACTCTAT